AAGGAGATGATCTGTGACTGTTAGGGGAGGGGGAGCTATTTCTGAGATCTGGTGAGACCAGTATTCCTTCTGAGAGAGATTTTGACTCTGAAACACTGGGTGAGAGTAAAGGAGATGAAAAGACAGTTTTAAGTTCAAGATCTGAATTTGTATAATCCCGAGAAAGGTGTGTGAGCTGAGGTGATGGACTGCTGTTTTGATTAAAGTTGATGGCTCTTGGCTCAAACAAGTATTGTGGAAGTGATGGACTTGGAGTTAAAGATTGAGTTGAGGGGCTACTCTGTCTTTCTTTGATTGAAGGTGTTAATCTCCTTGGTTCAATTTCTGAAGAGCTCTCTTTTAGATTAGGTGATGATGGTGAAAGTCTTTTTTCAGATGAGGAGGATGAAAATGATGACAGGCTTCCCTCTGGATTGAAGGGACTTGGGCTGTAACATCCAGGAGAGGGTGTCCTCTCACTGCTGTTTAACTCCTGAGATGATGGGGTGACTGGTGATGGGGTACTCGTTTTGAGCTGAGGTGGTGCTGCACCTTTGGGTTCTAAATCTGAAATATTTTTTTCAGAAACTTCTGGGTATTCCGAGATCAGTTCCTTATCCTCCAATTGCTTCCTGTCTGCCTCCTTTTGCAAGACAGGGCTGTAAAATCTTTCTCTTGAATCTTCAGAGCCCTCCTCTCCCTCACTGGAGCCCGGTGCAGTGTGATAAGAGCCAGAGGAATCGTTCTGCTCATCCAGCGGAGGGGATGCAGCAATTGTGCCTTCCACCACTCTCTGGCAAGGGGGAAAAGCTGCAGCAGAGGGGCTGCTGGAGAGGGACGGTGACTCACAGTCGTCTCCGAAAATGTCACACAGACAGGTGGTTTCAGAGATGGCACTCCGCTGAGCGGGGACGTTGATAATGTCAAAGATTTCAACGTGGTTTGGGGTGCCGTCACGATGACACAGAGAAAAGGTGCGAGGTGCACTACGCAGAAAGGAGTAACTGTCCCCCTGAAGAGTCCAGCTGTCCATTGCTAGTCCACAAGCTCCAAATGGTCACTGTGGCCAGTCCAGGCTGCTCCTCTACCAGGCCCTTGMCTTTGTTCCTGCAAAAAGATACGGTCACCAGGAGGGTGTGTAGCTCATTCATCTATACTGAGAGAAGCATTTGACTCAAATTACTTTAAGTTTATAAACATCAAATAAGTCTTTATGCTTAAATATATATTTTAATACAGCTCACTATTTCTGAATAAAAACAACTTGACATGAAATCAAGAAAACATTCATTGATTTACCTTTTATTTGACTACCAATTTTATGCTTCATGCAAGATTTTTAAGCATTATCTCCATCTACAATGCTTTTATTTTGATTATAAATGAAGTGTTATTCAGTTTGAACTTCAATTCTGTTGAACTAACAATATATCACATTAGCTCTGCTAAAGAATAAAAACTTTTAAAACTCTTTATATGTTGAACTAAGTAGAGATGACGAGCATGTCTTGTGTAAAGTAAAAAAAGTAGAAAATGTCTTGTACTGTACCTTTGGCCATTGATGAAGCTTTCAACAAAATCTTTCACTCATCCAACAAACGTCCTTTCCAGGACCGAGTAGCTCAGTTCAACTCAGTCCGCCAGTACCAGACAGCCTGGATAACTTCAGAATGTCAAAGATGTTACCATGTGTCAGACTTGGATAGAAGAAGCTAAGAGGAGGAACTTATTCAGGCACCTCACATCCTCTCATGCTATCATCTCTATCACTGCCCTGCCCCTCAGAGCTGGCATCAGGGAAAAGCCTTTCGTTACAGCAAGCAACCTGGATCCTACTTTTTTTCTTCTTTTACAGACTGAYGTTTGAGTGGGCATTGGCTTTCCTGTGTGAGCCGAGGTGGGGTACCTCYCGAGGGGTGGGTGGGTTTATAGTTAGCAGCAGATGCTGATGAGGCCAGTGAGCACGCCTGGAATCTGACACTCGCAGCCAGCTCAGTCACACTGCTTCACTATTTATAGACCTACATTATCAGGGCCAGATAGACATTAAGTTTCGTTCTTTGGCTTGGCGTGCTAGTGAGGGAAAGAATGGCACATGCATTGCCCCCTTGGCTACAAAATATGTGGCTGTGCTTAACACAGAGGGTTAAACTAATCCAACCTTGTGTGTCTGTGTGGCCTTATGTGTGCATGCTAAGACATGGCTGGGGAGAAGGTCAAAAGTTAACAGACCTGATTTGACCAGCACATTAAATTCTGCAGCATGGCAAGGGTCTCGCATATATTTACATAATTTAGTTTTCAGAAACAATATGCAAAGAAAGCTCACTTTTAAAGTCACAATCAGCTAAAAACAGAAAGATCTGCATGTTTCTATTAGGGCTTCAATAGTATGAAGCTATGTTGAGGCTGTCTAGACCTGCTTGATAGTGGTAAATTTAGATAAGCCTCCTGTCCCTAATGTAATACCTCATGTCATTACCAATTATTCTCAGGTATTAAGTCTCTCGGGGAAACAAAAGATTCTAATTATATTATGTCTAACTGGAAAGACAGTTATTTTTATGCATGACAATGCGTTACAGATCCTTTGTGTGAGTCTTAAAGAGAGAATTCAGATCCTTTTAGGTGGGGTTCTGTAGAAAGGATATGAACAAATAACATCTTACCTGTTGGAGATTGCTCTTTCAATAACTTTAATTTAGAGAAATGGGAGATAAGGTCTGACCAGACTGGTACAGATGAAGACATTAACAAGGTGGATTGCTGCCTTTTTAAAATAACTCCAATCTAATAAACAAACAAACAAACAAATAAATAAATAAATAAATAAAGATTCATGTGAGCATTTATATTTTTACGACATACACCATTTTATTCTAATTCTCAGAAAGTAATCATTGGATGTAAGTAAACACAATTCAAAATGGCCATCACAACTAACTGACTTTAACAAACCCAAAAATGGCTTTTTAAATATTGAGCTAAAATTTGGAGCAATTGTAATATCTGACAGTTGTCCCTGACAAATAGTTCAACCATTAACAGATCTCGTGAGGCTTTTGTTTAAAACTTCGTCATAAACAATTCGAGTCAAAGGTGTTGACCTGTTAGCAAAATATCTCATGAACCACTGGGAACATATTAATTAAATGCTAAGTAACTATTTGATGCACGTCTACAATTTAGCTGTTAAAGTTTTAAAACCATGGCTGCTTCAGTAAACTGACAGAAAACACAAAAATGACCATCTATATTAATTTTACTGATATGTAGCTAACATTTGGTGTGGTAGAAGCTGAGAATTATCCCTAGCACATACTTTAAGCTCTACTCAGCTCTAAGCCCAAATGAAATGTGGTGGTATATTATTGTAGTGTGTGCTATATGGATTTTGTGGTGTATTTTTTGTTTTGTTTTATTTTTATTTTTTGTATTTATCTCTCATTGTTCTTGCTGTCTGCAAAGCAAATTGCCCCTTGGAGAAAGTTTATCTAATCTAATCTAATCTAATCTAATCTAATCTAATCTAATCTAATCTAATCTAATCTAATCTAATCTAATCTAATCTAATCTAATCTAATCTAATCTAATCTAATCTAATCTAATCTAATCTAATCTAATCTAATCTATACGTTGTGCAACATCATTAGTTTGGCATTACACTGTTAATATTCAACCCTGTTTGTTAACAAATTACATTAAAATTGCAATAATTTTTGGAGTCAGTCCAATTCAAGCTGGCGATTCTTAGCCAACACATTCACTAAAATATTAAGTGAATTTTACAGATCTACAAGTAAAACCTGGTGTGATAGTAGCTGAGAGTCATTCACAACACATACTGTATATGTAACAGTATTTTCAAGGTTTGACTAAAACAGCTTTAGCTCCATCCTTTCTCAGTAAGAGGTTTTCTTAGTTTGAAAATGTGGTGTAGGACAGTCGTCTTGGGAGCAGAAAACCGCAGGTCCAATCACCCACCAAGCCCACATGTCATGGTGTCCTTGAGCAAGACACCTAGTTCCTAAGCTCCCTGGGTGCTTACATAGCTGCCTGCTGCTCCACTTGTGTGTTTCTCTTGTGTGATGGGTCAAACGCCAAACACAAATTTCCTCATTGCATGGGAACATGCATTGATGACAATACACAACACACTATTATTATCACATTAATGTCACAATGTGCAGTATTTATAAGTTTGGGTTTAATCGTGATCTTTGGATTGACAAATGGGTCGGTTTTGTATATAAATGCATGAATGAAAAACTGTAATACACACTTCAGAACCTGAAAATAAATGTTTCACTAGTGTGTGGACCATTTACCATTACTGTTGTTTTATTGTTAGGTTTAGTTATTCACTTGAACTCTTGTGTTGTCATTGCCACTAGATGTCCTGCACTAAGAGAAAGTGTTATGTATTGTCAGCCTGTAATGTGCCCACACAATGAGGGAATTTGTTCTCTGTATTTGACCCACCACACAGGTGAGATACATCCCAGTGAAGCATCTGGGAAGTGGTAAGCTGTCTTGCTCAAGGACACTGCAACATTTGGGCATGGCAGGGAATCGTACCTGCAACTTTTCTGGCCACCCCACTACTGCTCCATAGCCGTCATATTATTTTCCTTAGTATATTAACGCTTGCTTCCTGCTCCTACCCACCAGTTTCCCATTAGTGATCAGCACACCTGTTTCCATTTACTCATTACCCCCACTGTTAATCATTTATTAACAATGTGCTTCTAGACTGGCAAAAAAATACATTCCCAAATAAAGCTGGCATTTAATTTGAAGGGGAAATAATTTACATGGTTTTTGAGCTCAATTTATTAGTCACAGTCACCCAACAGTTGTGGGTAAAAGGTTCAACCAGTTTTATCAGATAACAAATGAGAAACGTTTTTTATTTATAATAAATTAAATAGAAAATAGTGATAAACTCAGAGTCCTCACCAGTGAAAGGCTTTTAAGTCGCAGTCCAGCTGAAAGAAGAAAAATGTGTTTTATTTTGAAAAGGTCCGGTTAGCGCAGACTGCGACACAGGAAGTTCCGCATTACGACTGCGGATGAAGTGTTGCAGGAAGGAGGGCTAACGCTAATGTTTGCTAACTAATTAGCAAAGTAGGTGAGCGTATTCAACCCAAAATATATTTTGTATATTTAGCCTGCTGGCTAATATATGTTTAAAATGTTGAAAAACTATAAAATGATGAGGACTAGCGGGTTGTCATTGTGTTCTCTGACTGTTTGGGCCTCGTCTGTCAGCTGCAGGCTAACCTTTTGTAGCCAGAAAACGACTGGGACACCGTTTGTTTATGTTAGCTTTGCGATTACTTCTTGTTTTTGATTACCGCACTGAATCAAAATGCATGCCAAGTTGTAGAGTTGTATCCATGTCGCTAGTATGTAACATCAAATAAAGATAAAATGAGACATGTTTGTGTCTAAATAATAATAATTATTCATTCGAGGTTTAAAAGCCAGTTAGCTCTTTTACGGGTAGGTGGACATTTTCTGTGCGGTGATTTACACCAAAGATGCGCCTGTCAGAAGCTTGATGTTGGACTAAAATCAAATCACWTATCAGAATAAGATCAATTTGAGTCCACACAAATTCACACAATCACGTTTTGTGTCTACCTGGTGATTTAATCTCATCTGTGTGCGGTTGATTTGTAGGTAAACACCAGGCCGCAGGATGTCTCTGCTAATGTGTTAGCAGAGCTACACCAGGCCAAACTTTTAGCATTGGGGGTCCCAAATAGTTTTAAAATAAGCTTTTCAAGGACATGTCTACTTGCTGTCAGAGGACATTTAATGCGTTTTGTGTCATAGATTCAAAGTAGGTTTAGGGAGCTGTTTATGAAGAATAATCCCTTGTTAAACAATTCAGTAGGATTATGAGTTATAGTAAATTAAGAGAAATTAATCCATCATCCTTTTCAGTTTAAGCTCTATCGAACATCGGTTATTCACAGTCTGCTGCATTACTTGGACTTGCTGTCTTTACAGTTATCACGGAAATTCAAAGGTATTGGGTAAATTTTATTTACCTTTACAGATCTCTTGTTGTAGTGATCAGCACTGTGGCCATGTAATCACAAAGCTGCAGCAGCCGGAACAACAACAACAACTACTTAGACAACTAAATTATGGCTTTGAATCTTAAAATTAAGTGAATTAAAAAGATGGTAGTAAATTTCTATTTATCATTTTAAATGAACGGGAGTCTCTGGAGTCATTGAAGTTGGTTCACTAAGATTACAAAAAGAATAAAATGTGATATGGAACTGAAAAGCAGCACAAACTTTTTTGTTAGAGGTTTAAATTGACCGTTTATTAAAATGTAGCATTGTTCAGTTGTTTTTTTATTGTTTCTCCTCCTAATTCCAAGTTTTTGTTGTTTTGTGTTTTTCAGTCTGAATCATGGAGCAGTGTGCATGTGTAGAGCGGGAGCTGGAGAAAGTGCTCCATCGCTTTGTTATGTACGGCCACCAGTCTGAGGAGAGGCTAGACGAACTTCTGCGCAGCGTCTGTGAGATTCGTGGACAGCTAGTTGCTTTTGGTAAGATGGACACTTAAAATTTAAAACCTTGGTAGTTTGGTAAATTATTGTGCTTTCTTCATTATTTATCTTTACTCATGAATGGTTTTGTTGACATGCATAGTGAATTTTTATTTATTTATTTATTTTTATTGTTACACACCCATCATAAAATGGCTGTATTGGGGTATGTCTGTGGTGCTGTCCATCAATCTGACTGTGGGCAGTTTCATGTCTTAGCATAGACTTACTGAGCCCCGCCCATACCGTCCACTGGTAGCYTCTGTGACAGCATGGAGGAGCAGAAACAGAGACCWAACAGGACAACAGCTCACAGCCACCATAATAGATAAACAGCAGCTGAACTGGATCTGTTTCACAGATTATCGGTCATGTTTTTAAAATAAATTAATAACTATGTTAATTTCATTCAACAAACATGTAAAACAGCAGATTTATACCAGGAAAATGTATAATTTATAAGTAACAATGATCTAAACCAGAACTGAAGTCAGCCTGTAACTTAGACTTTAACTAGTTGAAAAAAATGACTTCAGTTAGTAATAAAGTATATTTATTATTTCTTCTTACTGTCATAAAAATAAGAATATTTATATTTACCAGWCAACAGTTAGAAAATGTTCTCTGGTTARAGGATGAAACTTGTCTCTATTAGCTAACATCTCCTCAACAGGTCAGGTTCCTCTAACAG